GGTCGCGGGTGAGTCGCGGATTCGTCGTGGGGTGAGTTGCGGGGTTGGTCGCAGATGGGTCGCGGGTTGCGGGTGGGCCGTGGGTGGTCGCGGGTGGGTCGCAGGTGGGTCTCGGGTGTGTCGTGGGTGGGTCGTGGGCCGGATCGAGTGCGGGTCGCGGATGGGTCGCTGGTCGCGGGGTGTGTCGCGGGTGTGTCGGGGATGTGTCGCGGCTGGGTCGCGGGTGGGTCGTGGGTCGGTTGCGGGCGTGTAGCGGGCGGGTCGAGGGCTGGGGTGCGGGTGGGACGACGACAACGAACAACGCAACAGCAAGAATCCGCACCGCGCAACCTCGTTTCAGCCACGCGCCCAGGGACAGTGACCAACCGTTCGGCTCCCTCATTTTAATTTGTGAGAGTTATCGCTTGGCACCTGCGGCGGGCCTTTTCAGAGCCTCGCAGACTGCCGACGTCCCTACCGCCCCCTCACTCTCATCCGCAACTACGGGTGCTACGTACGTAAACTCGATCAGAAAAAACAAACGACACCACCCAACCTACTGCCCTTCGGGCTGCGCTACGGCCAATCGGGAGCCGTAGTGCATACCACGCAAAAGCGAAAGTCGAAATTCACGATATATGCTAAGGCCCGTGGAGCCGTAGGTGGGGTAGTGTCGTTTTCCCCAACCATCCTGTGGTGTTGGGTCCTCGTTTTGAAGAGACGGTGCCCCGCGTTCCCTCCTTCTCCTCCTCCCGCTGCCCCCTCCCTCCTGCCATCATCATCATCATCATCATCATCATCATCATCATCATCATCATCATCATCATCATCATCATCATCATCGTCATCGTCATCATCATCATCGTCATCATCAACATCACCATGATATTCGGCGTCATCATCAGCATCACCCTCCGCATGTCTCTATTTCGGCACACCAATCACACGGTTCGTGGCCCCATAGGGAGCTCCACCGAAGCCCCCAGTGGCAGGGTTCGCATGGCGGCCCCGCCTCATTTTGGCGCACCCCTCACACGGTTCGTGGCCCCATAGGGAGCTCCACCGAAGGCCCCAGTGGCAGGGTTCGCATGGCGGCCCCGCCCATTTTGGCGCACCCCTCACGAGGATCGGGTGGCCCCATAGGGAGCTCCACCGAAGGCCTCAGTGGCAGGGTTCGCATGGCGGCCCCGCCTCATTTTGGCGCACCCCTCACACGGTTCGTGGCCCCATAGGGAGCTCCACCGAAGGCCCCAGTGGCAGGGTTCGCATGGCGGCCCCGCCCCATTTTGGCGCACCCCTCACACGGTTCGTGGCCCCATAGGGAGCTCCACCGAAGGCCCCAGTGGCGGGGTTCGCATGGCGGCCCCGCCTCATTTTGGCGCACCCCTCACACGGTTCGTGGCCCCATAGGGAGCTCCACCGAAGGCCCCAGTGGCAGGGTTCGCATGGCGGCCCCGCCCCATTTTGGCGCACCCCTCACACAGGTTCGTGGCCCCATAGGGAGCTCCACCGAAGGCCCCAGTGGCAGGGTTCGCATGGCGGCCCCGCCCATTTTGGCGCACCCCTCACACGGTTCGTGGCCCCATAGGGAGCTCCACCGAAGGCCCCAGTGGCAGGGTTCGCATGGCGGCCCCGCCTCATTTTGGCGCACCCCTCACACCCCATAGGTTGGCAGTGGCCCCATAGGTTTCGAGCTCCACCGAAGGCCCCAGTGGCAGGTTCGTGGCCCTAGGGAGCATGGCGGCCCCGGCCCCGCCTCATTTTGGCGCACCCCTCACACGGTTCGTGGCCCCATAGGGAGCTCCACCGAAGGCCCCAGTGGCAGGGTTCGCATGGCGGCCCCGCCCCATATTGGCGCACCCCTCACACGGTTCGTGGCCCCGCAGGGACATAGAGAGCTCCACCGAAGGCCTCAGTGGCAGGGTTCGCATGGCGGCCCCGCCCCAGTGTGGCGCACCCCTCACACGGTTCGTGGCCACATTGGGAATTCTTTTTGCTTCGTCCCACCTGCCCTGCGGTATTCACGTTTGCATATGGTTGGGTCCTTCGCCAGGATAATTATTTTGGTACACACAAAAAGATCGATGGTTTGGGCCGGCTCTGGGGGCCGGCCGTGTTTCCTGCTTTGCCATCAGAGCCTCCTCTTGCTGCGCCTCTCGTGCCCTCGGATGCCCGCTCTCCAGCATCGTGTTTTTTTTGGCAACGAGTTCGGTCAGCACTGGATGCTTTTGAAGTTTTTCCCAGGCTCCCCACCCTGGATGCTATTCTAACACGTCGGATCCACGACGGCGAAGCAAATGTTTGACTCCCCGCTTCCCCTTTCTCGCCTCTCTGCCGCGCGCGCACGCCGCCTGCCTGCTGCCGTTTTGTGGGTCAAGGGTGGGGCCGCTTGTGCGGGACCGCCTGTGTCGAGCTCAGCCACGCGCAGAGGGGGGGTGGGGGGAGGGGGGAGGGCTTCGTAGAAGCACCCCTGCTTCTCAGAAGGCGCGGGCCTTCTCTATAGATGTAAGGCCGGCGCCTTCTACGAAGCAGCCTCCTTCTAAGAAGCCCTCCCCCCTCCCCCCACCCCCTTGTGCGCGCCGCCAACAAGCGTCTTTGGGTCAAGGGTGGGTCAAGCCGCCTCGGAACTTCTGGTGCTGGGTCACTGTACAAAGAGGAGAGACGGGGGATCTGGAGCTAACGAGATGCGGCCCGACCACGCGCACGGAAAGAGCAGCGACGCCACCCACGGATACCAGGAAGGCAAGGTTGTTGGCTGCAGCCCGTATGTCGTATGTGTTGTTCAGTTCGGTCTTGAGAATGCGCTTCAGACCAAAGCGTACTTCTCCGAGCCGCGCGGAATGAAGGCGGCTTGTCTTGTGCAACCCAGATCGGTTTCCCCTTCGTAGTCGGGGCTCGCACTCCGTGACAAGCCAACCTTCAAGTCTCGATCGGCTTCGTTGGCGAAGAGAATCTTCCGGACACATTTTGAATGTATGTCCAGAGCTGTAGCGATGTCAACGAGGCACGTGTATCTTCGTTCCACGAAGAGGCGGCTGAAATATACTCGAAACCAACCAGTCTCCCAACTACTGCTGTACGATCCCGCTTTGCCTCCCGTACTGTTTGTGTTTCATGTTTTAGTTTGGCTGTCATCCTGAGTTCCGATACCTGGTCTCCCAGTGTTCTGATTTTGGTCCTAGATGGTCGAGCCAACGCTCCTGAGGGTGGCCGTGGCGCCAGACTGCTCGTTGGTCAGGTTCGCAAGGCTGGTGAGGCGGATGGCTATATCCTCGATGTTCTCCACCACCTCCTCGATCCTGGTGTCGATGGTCCTTTTCATCTCATTGAGGCGACGTTTGAGGCCGTTGATGGTGTTGCGGATATGTTGCACCTCCTTGCGTATCACGTTCGCGATCTGATCTGAGGTAGGCGGATGTGGACGATGCTGCTTCTGATGTACGGGTCCTCCTGCTGGTGGATGTACCTCCAGCTGAGTCGTGGGGGTTGCAAGTGCGTGTACCTCAGGGCCTTCGGCGCCATGAACTTCCCTAAGTGGGCTGAACATGAGTCTGCGCAGAATGCTCTCCACCTCGACTCCCACTGGCGTACCTGGGGCGCAGGTGTGCGAGATCAATGCCATGGCCCTCAGAAGGGGCAGCAGAAAAGTTGAAAGGATGTGGTGGTGGAAAGTGTAGATAGGATGGCTTGAGCCTTGAGCCACCGGGGGTAAAATCTGGAGCCAAGGCATTGAGTCAGACGTCTCGATCCTCCGAAAAGTCGACCCCCAGATCTTCGCAGGGGCGCCTTTTGATCCGCAGTCTCCCGCTCGGCCCCCGTGTTCTTCTCCGCCGAGCACCCCTCCCGCGCGCCGAAGGCAAAAGGAGTTCCGCCGTGAACGTCCGGCGTCCGCTGGAGACCGTCGAATACCGATGACCGCCGAAGGCTGCCAAAGACCGCCTAGTAGACTACAAGCTTCCTCTTCCGCTTCTCATCATCCTCATTGCTGTGTTTTCTCCTCTTCTTCCTCATCTTCGCCTTCTAATCTTACTGTCCCTGTTTGTTTCTTCTCTTCTTCTCCTTCCCCTTCTTCTTTCTCCTCGCCGAGCCCCCCGCGCGCCAGCGGCAAAAGAAGCGGCGCGTCCAGCAGCCGACCACGCCCGAAGGGGGCGCCTGGTTCCCCACGCGCACCCTGCGGGGCAGCTCGCCGGACGCCAGGGTGCCCCAAGGCCGGCCCGCCCGCGGGCCCCGGGGGGGAGGAGGTGGGCGCCTCGCTCGCACGAGTAGGAGGAGGAGGAGGAGGAGGAGGAGGAGGAGGAGGAGGAGGAGGAGGAGGAGGAGGAGGGGGAGGGGGGGGAGGTGGGCGCGTCGCTCGCCGAGGAGGAGGAGGAGCACGCTCGGTCGCTCGCCTCTGCTTTCGCTCCAGCGTTGGAATCTCGGGTGTCGATGGGCGACGGCGGCTGTGCCTTCTGTGCTGTCGTCTAGGCGCGCCGCCCCTGCCCTGTTTCCCTTTTGCATGTCGTATTCGTTGCATGTGTGGACACCACGACTCATGCCATCAGGGAAGTGGGCAGCAGGAGGAGGAGGAGGAGGAGGAGGAGGAGGAGGAGGAGGAGGAGGAGGAGTGCCACGGATCTCGATGGCAGCAGGGGCATCGTTGGGGGGGGGGGCGACTGGCTGAGAGGGGCGATGCATCGACCCCCAAATCGCCCCTCCTGCGCCAAGGGGGGCCCGAGAGAGCCCACTCCGCCCAAGGGGACCGACCACCGTGCGGGGATTCGCTAGAGGGGGTGCCTGTCCCGATCCCTCGGGGATGCCTCGCCGCTTCCAGGTCGATGCTCCCCACGTGAGCCAGGTCCTCCCCCAGTGGGTCGAGGGGGGATCGAGGGAGGGTCGAGGGGGATGGTCTGGCGACCGCAAGCGTGGATCCAGGGGGGGCGTGGATCAGCAACGGGTCCCGCTTCCACGGGACATCGCGGGCCTCCGCCGCCGCACGGGGCAGCACCGGCCGCACTTTGGGGAGGGCAGCTCCCCCGATCCATGTTTGCGCGCCCCCCCAGTCGTTGCCCCTGCGGGTGCCTTCCCGCCCCCGAGGGCGGGGCAAGGCATCCGTACCCACCGCTTCCCCGTGATCCAGGGCTGGGCTGAAGTCGCGCGTGTCCCCCCACAGGATGAATATTCAAGAATAGTCAAACAAATAATCGTGTGACGATATTTTTCTTATTTCTGATTGTTCTTGGAGTATTGTTTCAGTAGTTCGAATTTTTCGTCGAAAGCCCGCCTGTAGGAGGGCATGCCCGACCTAAGGCTGGGCTCCAGTCGCTGTGAATATGAAGGTTTCCTGCTGCAGGAGGGGCGGGGGCGAGATGGGGCGGGGAGGAGGGGTACCCATCGGTCGTTGAAAGTAGGTATTGCGAAGGCCTTACGGCGGGTGCCGCCGACCCTGAATGGCGACGACGACGACGACCACGACCACGACGACGACGACGACGACGACGGACGACGACGACGACGACGACGACGACGACGACGACGACGACGACGACGACGACGACGACGACGGACGACGACGACGACGACGACGACGACGACGACGACGACGACGACGACGACGACGACGACGACGACGACGACGACGACGACGACGAGCTCTCTCGCTCTCGGGGGCCTCAAGCGTCTCAGGCCGAGGGCTCGAAATGACGTGGAGCGTCGGGAAGCTGACAAGGAGAGATTGCCGAAATCTTTCCAAAACCTCAGGTGAATCTATGATTTTAGCTCCTGAGGGAGCTCTGGACCGGCGAAGTCGGAAGCCACTGAGATCTGGGGGCTCTGGAGGACAACAGATCGGGCGCCGCGGCCGCTCCGGAGCGCTCCGCAGCGCTCGGCGAGCAGGATGGAAACCACAACGGAGGGGGCTGGACGAGCAGGGGGGGAGGGAGGAAAGGAAGGGAGGATGGGGGACGAGGAAGGAAATGACCGCTGCGCAAGGCGCGCGGCGAAGGCTCACTGGACGAGGGCGCGGCCGCAGGCGAGGGCTCAGGATTGAACGCTCTGGAGCGACCTGTATCTCGGTCCTGGGCCCGCTTGGATGCTCGACTACCCACCAGACCACCCCAACCCAACCCGAAGACCCGAATTCCGAGTTGGGGGGGTACAGTCGGCCTTGATTGGACAGGACACGAGAGAGGACACAAGACCCTTCCGAGGGCCACATCGCAATAGGATTGTAAGAAGGCACGGGTCGCGAGGCAAAGGACACAAGGGTACCCTTGATCTGGCAGGGTCGACCTACTAATTCGGGCCGCCTGTACCCACCAGACCACCCCAACCCAACCCGAAGACCCGAATTTCGGGTTGGGGGGGTACGGGTTCCGAGCGCAAGTTCTAACTATTCCCCAACCACCCCCCACACTGGAAATGGAGGGCTCATTGAAGCCTTGGGGTCGGGTTGGGGTGGTTTGGTGGGTGGTGACTGTTCCTTCCCTTGCCCGTGCTGCCGAAACGAAGCCCACCTGCCCCCCCCTGAAGTCCCGGCCGCACGTCTCGACCCCTCGCCCAGGCTCGACACACAAGCAGGTGCGAGCGCGCTGCTGGGCGCCCTGGCCGAAGAGGCCGCTGTGCGGCAAATTGGCTGTGTGTAGCGGCATCCGCCTCGTCAGGCCTGCCGACTGGTCATGTGTCCTACGAGAACGGCACCCATGCACACCCCGAAGCCCAGAGAGGGGCAAGAACTTCAAACTATTCCCCTCCCCCTCCTCAGACCTCCGACATCGTGCCTTTCGAATGCAGGCCCCCTGGTGCTCTCCACCCCTCCCGAAGACCGGTTATTCGTCCCCGAGGCCGAACAGTGCGGCAAAAACGGAGCCCTGCTTTTCCGGACGCCAGAACTCTGGGCCCCCTCTCCTCAATATCGGCCCCATGGACATCCTTAGAGTTAGGTCGCGCATGTCCTCCTACGAAATGGTAATCACAAATATTATAGATACGATCCCAAACTGTCAACATATCGTTCCCAGACCATTTTTTGTTCTACCATTTTTGAATATCCCCCTGTAGAGAGAGACGTGCCCGACTTAACCCTAGAGATGCGTTTTGACCGGATTTCGGGGGGCACTCCAGTCGTGGCGCCGCTGTGGCGGGCAGCCTCGCGCAAAGACCCCAAGAACGGAACCATGAAGACTAACCCCTCGGTCGGAAGAAGCAGGTGGAAGCATGAAGTAGGAGGGCGTTGAAAGTAGACTGGGTGTCCGCCCGCCGCCCTGAGGAGGACGAGAAAGGCGAAGCCGCTCGATCATTGGCGATTGAAGTAGTTTAGAATCTATGAATCCCAAAATCCGCCGACCCTGTCGGCCTTTGGAAGAGGCTGTTCCGTTTGACTCGTCGTCGTCGTCGTTGTCGTCGTCGTCGTCGTCGTCGTCGTCGTCGTGGTCGTTGTCTTCGTCGTGGTCGTCGTCGCCTTCGCCGCTCCCCTCCCCTTTCCCTAGGCCCATCGCCGCTCCCCCCACTTTCACCGGGCCCTCCTCCCCCAGCGCGCCAGCCACAGCGAAATGGAGCAACATTGTAGTGGAGTCGAAGGGAAGCCCCTTCTTTTTGATGCCTTCCCCGCCGGGGGGGGGAGTCTCCTGGGGGGGTCCTGGGGGGTGGGTCCCGGGGGGGGCTCCTGGGAGGGGGTCCCGGGGGGGGTCTCCACCCAGATACGACTCCCCTTCAGGCGGTTCTGTGGCACAAAAGACCCAAGACGCGACAAAAGTGCTCCAAGATGACCCCAAGACGGTCCTCGAGGGCCCCGGATCGCCGAAGTATCGGTCCAAGTCGCCAAAGTAGCCTCCAGACGGCTCAAAAGGTTTCGAAGACGTCTTGAGCAAGGAACCGTCGGAGGCCCAGAGGTTGTCACCAACACCAATATCGGAGGCGTGCTCCCAGCGAGGGAAGAGGATCCCGATCTCGGTGGTGGTTGTCATATTCGGACCTCCTGGGTGGCCGAAAGCTTTCCACCAGCACCGAAATCCAGGATAGGCAACCCCTGGTTTTGGAGTTGGTGCGCCTTCCCAAGCTTCCAAAACAGGGGAGTTGGCCCGGCGCCAGGCGGCACCCTGACCGCGGTGGGGAGCGGGCACCTGTGCCAGCTGCGGCCGGAGCAGGGCTACCTCGACTTCGTGAGGCATGCGGCGGCGGCGGCGACCCACTCGAGCCTCAATGCCCGACGGTCGAGTTTATCCTGAAGTTTATTGTTTTCATTTGTTTGTTGTAGTTTCGGGGCACCTTCGAGACACCTTCGAGCTTTTTTGTGTTTGGTTTCTTTTGTGATTAGCTTGGTGTTTTCGTTTGGCACTTTCGGGGCACCTTCGAGGCACTTTCGAGAAAGGTATTGTTTTTTTTTGTATCTTCGGGGCATCTATGAAGGCCTCTGGAGACGGGGGCCTCCGGGGATGTCCACGGTTCCAGGAGGAGGAGGAGGAGGAGGAGGAGGAGGAGGAGGAGGAGGAGGAGGAGGAGGAGGAGATAGGCAGCTCTATGCGATTGCAGCCTGCGGTTATGCGCCGGCGACGATAAGGATTGCTGCTTCGATTGGGGCGACGGCGGTGGGGCGCGGCATCGGCAGCACTGTGAGCATCAGCTGCATCAGAGGAATGCGAGAATTTGCCAGCGGCGGCGGCCCGACTTCGTGCGGCCTGCGGTTTCTCCTCAACTGAGGCGTCGTCAAAGAAGCACGACGGGCGTTCTTTGGCATTCAGTGTCTCGGGGGCCTCCTCCCCCCTCCTCTCCCCCTCCTCCTCCGCCCTCTTGTCCCCTTCTTTCTTCTCTCCACATCGCCCTCCTCCTCCTCCTCCTCAAACTTCCCCTACTCCCCTCTTCCCCCCGCCTCCGCCTCCTCCGTCCCCCCCTTCGCCTTTCTCTCCCCCCCCTTCCTCCTCCGTCCTTCCGTGCCCCTCCTCCTTCCCTCCTCCTGCTCCATCAGTTTTCCTTCAAGCAGCTCCTCCCTGCCGCATTTCCCAGGCGTGTCCGCACGGCGGGCCGGGCGTCTCGCCCGAGACTTGCTCACCATGGTGGGAGCCGGAAGCTTGAGGGCTGCAGCGGTTTCATGGACGGAGGGCGGGTGGTTTCCAACCTGTGGCCTCCTCCTCCTCCTCCTCCTCCTCCTCCTCTCTGGCTTGAGCGCCGCGCACACTCGTTCCAACGGTTGCAGCAGTTGCACGGATGGATGGCGGGCCCTTTTCAAGATGTGGTT